AAGCAGTGGTATCAACGCAGAGTACTCTGTTATTTTCCGGTCCAAGATTCGTGGAAGAATCACAAATTCTCCCCCTTTGTCGCTTACCGAGATACGTACAGCTTCACTAGAGACTAAATCACGTATTTCCTTGTAGCCAAGCCTTTGCGAATGAGTCAAGTTGATCGGTTGGCGGGTGCTTAGCTTGATGAGTATAAGCATTCAGCACACCAGCAGATCAGAAGAAGCAAGCAGCAGATAGGAAGAGCAGCTGGCTTTCCCGAGAGCTTTCTCAGCAGACTGAAGTTAGAAACACCAGAGTGCCCGGTCTTTTATAGTCTTGTTAAAACCTATAAACTGACCGCTGCTGATGACGCGCGCATTTTAACGGCGGGAACAGTTGAAAATAAGACCGATCATAAGTTGCGTAGGGGGACTACCGACCGAATATCCTGGTCTTAAGCAAGATTGTTAACCAGCTACTGGACAAAGTCCCGTCTCATTTGACCAATACGAATCATTTCTTGGAACGCCTCCATAACACCACTTTGCAAACGCAATGTGTGGCAGAGTCTTTTGACGTCGTGTCTTTGTACACGAATGTTCAAAACGATGATGCTCTGCAGGCAGTTTCGGAAATGTTGGACAACTTTGGTGAAAAGATCCAGACTTTCGGGCTGAGTAAAAGATCGGTTATGCTCCTGATCAAAGAATGTCTCTCTTGTAACATCTTTAGATGGTCAGGAACATACTATACTCAGCTAAGAGGTCTTGCAATGGGACAAAGACTAGCTCCAGTTCTGGCGGTTTGCTTCATGAGTAGAATAGAAGAACCAGTGCTGTCACGAATGCCTCTTATGTACTGCCGTTACATTGATGACTGTTGCGTCATAACATCAACACAATCCGAAATGGACGAGTGTTTTCGATTACTTAATCAACAGTCACAGTACATAAAGTTCACGCGTCAGCAACCGAGAAGTGGTTGGCTCCCCTACTTAAACGTACAGATCAAACTGTTCAACGGCGCTGCGAGTGTAAAATGGTATCGTAAGGAGACTTCCAAGAACATCTTAATTAATGCTCGTTCTGCACATCCGATCGCTGTTAAAAGAGCTGTTATTCGTAACATGCTCAAAACAGCAACGAACGTATGCACAGGAGAAGAATAACGGAAGGAATCTCAAAGATGGGCGCTGGACATTGCTCGAATGAATGGTTACGCGCACCAAAAAGGACGCGGTGGACCATCCATTTCTATTCAAAGCAACCAGCACCAACAGAAAATACCTCTTTGCCTTCCTTTCGTTTCTGACGCAACTAGTGCTGCAGTGCGCCGATGCATTAACCGTGCAAACTTGAAAGACGATATCATTTTAGTTGATATTCCAAGTGACAACATCAGGAAGCGGCTAGTGCGTAACAGACTATATGACAACTACTGCAGAATCCAAGACTGTGTAGTTTGTCCATCCGGTAAAGTTGGCGATTGTGGTAAGACCGGTGTAATCTATGAGATTACATGCATCGAATGCAAAGCCACTTATATCGGAGAGACTGGAAGGCCTCTATGGGTAAGGATGAAAGAACATCTTGCCAGCAAAAGACGGGGAAGTCTTACCACACCACTCGGCAAACACAGAGTTGATTTTCATCGTGGTAAGGACTTCGAAATCAAATGTACTATACTGGCATACGAGTACGATACTGCTAGCAGAAAAGCTCTCGAGGCATTCTGGATTTTCGCGAGAAACCCATGCATGAACAGCCGAAATGAGTGTCCATCAATCACGAATGACTTTATGCCCTTTATGGCATTATGTGAGTTGAAGAGTCCCACTAGTAAATAATGTCAATATAGTTTACACTGTATTCATTATTACTACTAGTGGCACGAAGGACGGCCGCATCTAACATCTGGGCGGCAGCGGCGGAGGAGGTTGGTTCGTCTTTCACGTGCTTGCGTATTTTTGCTTGTAACACTTTGGGGGGTAAAGTCGAGGCTGGTCGGATATGGAGGAGGTTTGTGGTGGGGTAGGACATAAAATCAAATCTCTTACCACTTTAGGCCTCTGAAGAAGACGGACACGTCGAAACGTCAGGCCGCCACTAACAATAAACATCTACTAACCTCGGTCGGCTTACTAACATACTCACACATATACTAACAATGCCGAGGTTTACGAAAGAGGAAACCTGGAAGCTACTAACAGTTGTTACCCTAATTATGAAATAACTCATGAAAGAAGCATTATACCGAAATGCAGTCTTCATATTTAGAATCAGCTACTCTAGTTAGGTCGGTACAAAAGTTCCTGGCTTGTTTGGTTTTCCTTCTAAGGCAAAAATCACTTTTGGTAGCTCAAAATCCTCCTCGAAGTTCCCACCGTAATCCTACAGTAATGAAAGGCGACTGATAACTCGCTCCATAGTGTAAATCTAAGTTGAACCTTGCTCTACAAGAGATTATGTCAAACTCGGCAAAAGAGATGAAAGCAAAAGGGTTATTAACGATTAAACAGTGTGCACATCTTTTTGGGACACCCTGTATATAGAAGGACAAGGAATGTGCTAACGCTTGAGAAAATTTCAAATGGGTACGGCAGTGGCGTACCCAGGATTTCGGCTCGGGGGGGGGGGGGGGCGCGACAAAAATTTTTTTCTAAAGAAGGTGCGTGGCGTTAGCCACGCACTCCGAAAAAGTTTTTGGGGTGCTTCTCAAAATTTTTCCGGGTCCCCGACCCCTAAAATCTGGAAAAAGGGGGCGTGGCGTCAGCCACGCCCCCAAAAAAAAATTGTTATAAGGCTAAAATGAATTTTTAAAAAATTTTAAAAATTATTTTAATTATTTACAAGTAAAAACAAGTCACTTGCACATTTTTATAACCCATGTAAGTAACTTTCAAAAATTTCGCGACCCGTTCTCGGGGGGGGGGGGCGCGCGCCCCCCCCCCCCGCCCCCTCCCTCGGTACGCCACTGGGGTACGGTACCGTATATTTTATGTAGCCACTGACATAAAATATAGAAGCTAAATAACGTTTGTTACTGCTGCACCTAATCGTGCTTCCATAGGCTTCGTCTAGAGTTGTTCGTGTGCCAGCGTCGTGCTAGCGCAATACCAGCCCCCATGTGGGGGAGACGGTCTTTTCGCACGGGCGGTCTCCATGGTCTTCCTGATTTTGACCTGTCTTAACATGTAATGCACGCCGCATATCTTTCCTCCCCCTGTTTTGCTTAGGCAAAAGCCGCCGCAGGGTGTGTCGCGCGCGGCGGTGGTCCTGTGTGGAAATCATTACGGTCGTGCGAATCGGCCTACACCCCCCATGTGGACATGATCGTATGATCGATTGGTGTTGCGCCACCCTGCAGGTATCCAGGCACGGTAGAACTCGGATGCAACCTTGACGAGCAACGCAGTGGAATTAACTTTGGTTTGTATCGCTTTTGTTTCTATTTTTTCTTTTTCAAGCCTTTTCACCCTAATTTTTGCATTTGCCACTAGCTTTTAATTTCGGTTAAAAGTACTGCATAGAGTACCTGGAGAACAGCGCACGCAACCATGCACACTGTGGCAGGATAGCGTAACGAAAAGCAGATATCTCTGCTAAGTCCCATATCGCATGGATTTTTGTAAGCGATATAGTGAACCAGTTGCGTAGTCTGGAAATGACCATTGATATCCACACAGAGCTACTAAATAAGCCTAACCTGTAGAGTGATGATGAAGAGCGAGTGCGCAATATAAAACAATAGCAGCGAAGTCATAAGAATCTGAAAGTAAAGTGTTTTTTTTAAAGTTAGAGATTGTAAGTTCATGGCTCACCTTGCAATTTATGTGAAAACAAAGAGAACCACATTTTCTTATAACAATCACAGACAAGATAGTGGAAATAACGGCAGCCGCATCTTGTCCAAATATGACTGTTATGAAAGCTATGCTTTCGCTAAGCACTTTTACTTTGATACATTCCATAGAAGAAATGAGCTGTAACATAGGATTTCTTATGTGGCTATCGTAAAAGTGATGGTAAGCCAAAACTCATACTGCGTGAGTGTAATTAACTTTTTAACTGTGACAGATAACCCTTATCTTACAGGGCCAGTTAAATGGCGAAGTATTGTCCGCATTTTACTAATCTGACGGAAACGATCAAGAGTTAAAAGAAGTTCACAAACGAAAAAACGAGTTATCTCAAATTTTGCATCCTTATGCAGCTTAATTTCAATGCGGTCGCGGTACTTCCGCTGTGCAGATGAGGGTGGCCGAGTACATATTTATAGAATAAATCCTCTAGTTTTTACAGCGAAAAAAATAGAAATCTCGGCAGAGTGCGTTTTCATTACTCTAAAAAGCGCAATTTGAGAAGGTTTTTTCAATTTTTTGCGAAATTGCTTTGCAAAAGGGTTCAGTATTTTTTTGAGCTGGCACAAAGATTCACCCGGCCTATCAACCTAAAAGCGAATGTTTGGCGGCTTCAACGAATAAAAACTTTCCTATGTAAACTCAAATCATTTTTTCAGTAGATAATTTCAAATTTAGATTTATTCATTCTCAGCGGCTACATATTCGAACACACCGCGATGACCCCATTCATTGTTTCAGTTAGAACGTCTACGTAACTTGAATCCATTCTTCTTCGTGCCCGTTAGCTCAGTTGTTCCTAAGGCTGCGTTCATACTCATGCGGAAGTTTGAGGACAGTTCAAACTGAGCGCTGTGCTGGAACTGTTTCGGAACTTCCGGATCAGTATGAACTGCAGCCTAATCGCAAAATTTTGGCATTGCAAGCACACTATATCAAGAAAAAAATCTACTAAGCTGATCTGAGCTGAGTTAGAAATTTAATATCTGTAGAATTAGCTATGCTGCGGCTTATCGATCACTTCACTAACTCTTACAAAATCTAACTAGGAGCAGCTGCGATGAATACAAAAATCAAAATGAGTTATTCTTCGGAGTCTAGGACAGTCTGATTGGTTGAGATGCTATTCTGAATATTATTTTCGGCCACAAAGTTGTACGACACTAATTCAATATTAAGAAGTCTCCTATTCTAAATTTACTTTTGCGCTCATTACGACTGCCTGCTAATATAATAAAGTTAACTTCCGCTGTCACCTGCATTTTGTTGAATGAAAGTATATATAAATGTACTCATTTTGAAAGGGCAGGAGCACAGATAAGATATTAGTCAATTTTGCTCACTGAAAATAACATATTGTGCTTGCGTTCTCTTTTCTTCCATCTCGCCCGTTCATACGAGGGGTCCTCCCAACGTGAATTCTCTCGACCTAAGCCAAAAAAGTCATGCTTGCTCTTTCATCACTAACTTGCATACATTCACAGACTACGTAAGCACTCTCTCAATAATTCCCCTCCCTTTTCTCATTTCCCCACTCTTAGCATCAAATGATCAGGTGGACAATGATTGTATCATGTCGGTAGAAAAGCTCCTGCACATTTTCAAATCAACCCTAAATTCGAGCTAAATAAATACCCTGAGCAGCACCCGATACAGAAATTCCTGCTTATCTTCAAAGTGATTCGTTGAGAGAGTGGCGAGTCGCTTGGGACTGCGACTGTTCATTTTAACCATGTCTGACCTACGCTAATTTTCAAAATTTCCTTTTAAAACTTTTAGGTAGCTTTGATACCAACAGATGGGACGTTAACTAAAACTATCTTTCAAATCTTTTCTCAGCTTCCCCTTAAGCCTCGCTAATTGAATTTTTAAAAGTCATAAGTTTTGCAAAAGTCGATTACACGTTATTGCACAAAACACTGCAAAATCTTCAGCTTACTCTGAGGTCTAAAACTCTGCCGTTATTATGACTAACTCACGAAAATGCGGTCTTTGCCTCAAGATATGAAAATTTTGAAACTTAGGGTGCGTCACTACGCAAAATCAAAAATTACTACACTTTTCCCTATAAATTTCGCACGTCTCGACAAGAAAAGACAATTGTTTAAAAGAGGTTTAGCGTTTCTTCAAAAGTACCTAAACTATTTACCATACCATGTTCTACGAAGTAGGAATAGACCTTATTCAAATTTTGTCAACTAAAAAATTGTTTTTCAGATTACTGAAACGCAAGTCACGGAGTTCGACATATGCTAAAGAAGGGCAAATCGTTTGGTGCGAAGGGAGTGTCTACAGTCTGCCCCAGTTGGAATCAGGCCGAACCGTTGGAGTGAATTGCGCACTCGCAGCGCTAGGGGTCGCGCCGCATATGCGCGCTGTCTAAGAGAGCGAAGAGATTGAAGAGAGAGCAGACAAGCAGGGCGTAGGCGGGACGCAAAACCCTTGCAACGCGGGCTCCCGCTATGCCAATTTTGGCCTGGTTAGGATTGGGGCAGACTGTAATCTGTCTGCCTTGGAGTTACCGGCAACGCGAAACGTGTGAAGCATTTCACGCGAATGCGGAAAATCCTTCCTTCAACTTCAAATTCTTTCTCTCACATTCACTGACGTGGTGAACAAGCGTTCCTTATTCCAGTGAGAAATGCCAGCAGTATGAAAAAAATTAAAGGGGTTTTGCATATTTAGTTTTGTTTTAGCGTGCGTCTCAATATTTCATACATTAACCTACCGAGGTATCCATGGCGAGTTTGTTTCCAACGATGCCTTCAAAAACTTTTGATGACCTGAAAAGCATAGACCTCAGTTTTAAGGGCTAACACTTCGCATATCTCAGATACAAACAATGATGCGACGTTTAATGTGCATAATGAACAAGCATTTCCTACTTCAGTGAGAAATGCCAGCAATATGAACAAAAATTAAAGAGGCTTTGCTTATTTAGTTTTGTTATAGCGTGCGTCGCAATTTTTCATATAGGCTGCTGCATAAGTTCTGTCCGATTTTTTGCCTCATGTTTGATGCAGCAGTTCTAAGCAAATTTCATCCGTAATGCGGTATTGTTGGCATCATGAGAAAGTGCTTTTCTTGCTCTTTCTAATGCATATCAAATTTCAATAAATTTCTTAGTGTAAGGAGATTCCAGGCCTAAAAAAGCTCCAAGTGGCCATGGTACGTAATATGTTCTTGCGAGGGAATCTCCACAGTGCGCCCCTCAAATCAACTTTCATTGGTCGCGAAAAGAGGGTGCAGAAGACTAGTTCATGCAGAAGATCGGTTCCATGAGAAAAACGTCTTTAGTGAAATTTACTGTCGAACATCCATATTTTGTATAGATGTTTTACAAGCAATAACTTCCTGCAAATAAAAGTAATCGATGAGTTCAGAGCTGGAGCTGCTAGGGTAAAGCACAAGCTAGCAGGGCTCATGCACAATGCGCTGAAGCGAGGTTGAAAAGTGACTTCTTTTTTGTTCGGTCAAAAAAGAAATCTCTCGGCCGCAGACCCTATGGGCTCTTATATGCTGCAAAATAATCTACGAAAATTTCTCTATCTATCTATCGTGGGATAAAATGCCTATCAATTCTCATAAGGGAGCATTGCCATGTCAAAGAAAACAGGTTTGAAGAAAAACGTTGTAAAGTTTTTGAGTTCTTGCTTCTTCCTACAATGATTTTCGCAGGCCTCAATATGTGTCTGATAGCCAAGAAATTGCTCAAGGCATGGAAACTAAGATCTTAGAAAAAGTTGACTTTGAAAGAAGTTATGACATTTTGAAGTCAAAATGTTCAAATCGGACAGAACTTAGGCAGCAGCCTAATGAAAATGATCAACCGACGTATTTATGAAGAGTTTGTTTCCAATGATGCCTTCAAAACTTTTGATAACCCGAAAAGCATAGAACACAGTTATAGGGGCTAACACTTTGCGTATGTTACAATACAAACAATGATGCGATGTTTAACGTGCATACAGTCCGTGTCAGTCACGTGCTTCCTTTCTCGTAGGCGCAATGAGCTCCGCGCCACGTTCGCGCGCGTATGGTTCGCGCATTCAAAATGACCTCATCGATTGGAGCTCCGCACACAGTGCCCTTGCGTTGCGCATGCGTAGATCCCATGCGAAAGGGAGTACGTAATTGATATTGACTGTATCCTCATAGGGAAAAGAACTGAGTGACGTCAAATCTAAAGTTCATGGTGTAAAGAAGTATGCATCACGTGAACAGTGATTCAATTGCCTCAATTCTCTTCATAATAAATTGATTGATATTAATAAACGCGAAACTAGAGGCACCAAACAAGGGTGGCGCGCACACATTTGCGCACACAAATTGCTCTGGTAAGATACAGTTCAGCATATAAAAAACTATAGAGTTTTCTACTTAAACAGCATTGTTGCCTAAGACCCTGCAAAAAATCAGTCGTTAAGGAGGATACCCTTCAAACTTCAAAGATGTTTTTCGTTTGTGCTCATTAGCTACTGTTGGCAATAGAATCAAAGTTTTGAATGGAAAGTTGCTTGACAAACATACGCCAAATATTGCTGAAAATCTTTGAGTTGAAGACATACTAGCTTATCAGTTTATCAAGATGATAAATGTGACATAAGTTGCTTGCAATTTCTGAAAGTAGTAGTTTTTACGTATTTGTCTTCAGGCAAGAGACTTTATTTTTGGATCGGTCCAAAGTGGACCACGCGTACACGTGCATCGGGATGATGCCTATAGTACGAAGTGCAAAACTTCACATTCTCTACGTTGCATCATCATCATCTCATCGCTGTGCCATATCGCTGTGCAGTATGCGGCTAAAACGATAACATTTGAATGATGGTTCCCTAGACAGATGAGGAAGTTTCAGCCGAAACGTTAAAACAGAGCATTGGCTTTTCTGCCACCTATCCACATTCCATAGTTGCGACAGAGGGAGCGATGAATCTTACCCCTCCCCTCACATTTGAACCAGAACCCGGATGACTCCCTTCACATGAGGCTGAATTGGAAAGGCAATCTGAGATTGAATCATAATCAAAAAGCTGGAGATTCAGCACCTCAGTCATGGAACACGACAAGTACATCTCCTTGAAATGAATTATTACTATTAATCACAATACGAATTGCAGTATTTGCATTCCGCACTATTTCAAAGGCGTCTACAATAGATATAGGGGCCTGCAGGTTCGCGAGAGTCTGACGTGCGTACGGCCTTTGCGCCGCGCACGTCAGATGTGCGTCCGACGACTCAGGTAAGTGCCAGACTTATCCTGTTGAACAGGTTCATTCGGTTCATCACCTTTGCTGTTGGACAGTGTAGTGATTTGATCTATGAACCGAACGAACCGGCTGAAGCGGATAAGTCTGGCACTTGCTTTAGTGACATCGGACGGCTCGGCGCAATGACCGTCCGCACGTCCGACTCTCGCGATCCTGCAGGCCCCTGTAGCGTAGTATGGAAAATAAACTAAATGTGGAAAAAATAGCTCAAAAGTTTAAACACTTCAAAAGAGAATGTGAAATTGAAAACATTTAAATTCTCATCTCGAAAACCTGCTTTGCTTTGTTGCTGTGTTTGCTGCCCCTTTCTTTTCAACATATTTATTTTCTTGTCGATCTTCATAAAACCAAGAAATTTTGCAGAAATAGCTCGGTGTGATATGCAGTGATTACTGTAACCCGCAAATGATTTCATCAGTACGGCTATGTTTTTTGAAAAATGAAAGAGAATTGAATGATTTTGTCAGAAAGCGCAGCAGCAGATATATCGGTCGGATAAATCCTTCGTACTTTACTCCTGAGAAGAGTTAGAAAAAAAGTTGGCAACTTGCGTCGAATTTCATAATCTCAGCTTTCGAACGGTATATAACTAGTTGGGGTATTTCGCTTCATGGCTTCAAAAATTCTTGCTCCGGCGACCTAAAAAAAGGTAGTACAATGAAGGAGCGAGGTGGAGCAAACTAATAATGCGTATCTCCACCTCATTTTTTTTTGTACCGTGAGATATACGCTGTTGCATGACGAAGGCGCAATACTTTGTGCGCGAATGCGGCTTTAATAGCACAGAGCGCATGACGCGCAGGATCTACAACGGTGAGGATACGTTCGCGCCGCATTTGCACCCGCTCAACTAACACTGCTTCTGCGCCTTCGTCATGCAGTGCCTTTACGCCTTTTTTAAATTATGTCCATATTTTGATCATCTACAGTCGCTTCATTTCATATGATCATGTGTGCCACTGCACACACAGTCCACTTTGGCGTCCTCATCCTGGATTTGCAATCGCAAAAACGCAAGGGACTTACCGATTGTTATCGATTACATCAATTTGAGGTGACTAGTAACTAAAAAGGAAAGAAAATGTTAAGAACACCTTAGAAACACTTACGTGAAGGCTCGTTTCTCCCACGAATCCAGGATGGGGACGCCAAAGGTGATGTGTTTGTGTAATGACACACATGATCATATGAAATGAAGCGACTGTACCTATACCAAAGAGGAGGTCTTCAATAATAGACGTAGACCGTCAACCTTCTCGCAGCTTTCATTTTCACTGCGATAAGAGGGCAGAAAGTGAGCGCACCAAGTCAGTAATCAGTCACAAGGATTATATAAAATCGCTCATATCTCCCAGCCCAAAATCTCAAAAGCTGCTGCATGACGAAGGCGCAACAGCAGTATTAGGTGAGCGGACGCGAACGCGGCGCGCGCGCATCCTCCCGTTGTAAATTGTGCGCCTCCTGCGCTCTGCGGCTAATAAAGCCGCCTTCGCGCCAAAAGATATTGCGCCTTCGTTATGCAGCAGCCTATAGAATGGTTTCGATGGTGCTATTTAATTCTCCATGAATTCAGCTTTCGAATGGTATGTAATTGTCAAAGCATTTCACTTATAGGCTCACTTGCTTCCTCTTTCCCACAAAAGTGAGAGTAGTCGAGACCCCTTTCCACCTAGAGGGAGCTCACCCCCTATAGCACCTCTGCTTCCAAATATTCAATTCTCATAATAACAGTAGATGACGAACTAGAACTGAAATACAATAAAATAAGATCGTTTCTCGCCAAGAAGAGTTTTATAAGAGTGTTGAGGGTAACTGCGAGGGTGAGGGTGACTGCGAAAATTAGAATGGGAGTAATAATAAAAGTTCATTTATTGGCTCCAAAAGACGGTCAACGTCTTTCTTCTTTCCGCAGCACAATACTCTCGTAAGTTCTACTTCTGTGAAGAGAGAATAGCGCTGAACATGATTAAAGAAAAACACAACCACGACACGACTTACGCAGTAATCTACCACATTCCCACAAACCGAAGATGTAACTGTTTTACTCAATTTCATTATTCTGGTAGTTGTGATTACCGCTGTTCTAGAGAAAGTATGATTCTAACCTAAGTGCTATAGCGCCGCAAGAAGGATAGCAATTTTTCCTCTCATCACGATCTAGAGGCTCCAATATACTCTCTGGTTATCGAAGAGGAAAACGACAAATACAAACAGCCTTTAGAAAATTAATTAGCCTGTAGAGAGTGCCCTTCTTTCAGCGGTCTACGGGAATTGAACGCACAGTCAAGACTCAAAAATTGCTCGAAAGAAGAGCGTTGAGTTCGCAACTCATTAATGACTGGTAGCTGACCCAGCTGCAGAACAACTTTGCAGAAAGTGTGGGCCTGCACACTTACGAAACTTTCTGAAGAAAGCAATGCTTATGCTTGCCAGGGGTTTTTAAGAAGGCTCCTTTTGTTTGCTTGCTGATGTTTCGTATGCTCTAACAAAAAATTCAACTTGGTCATTACGTTAAAAAAAATTCATCAACAGTTGTTGGTTATGACATTGACATAACAACGGACCATCATGAACTTAGTAAGAGGTGTACTTGTGGTGTCAAGCCAAATTGACGCCTGCGAGTTGAAAACGTTACACCTTTGATAGATTTACTAGTTTGGACAAAGATCTAAGGCGCAAATTCCCTTAACACGATCTGCCTTGGATATGCAACCCAGTACGTGAATGTGCCGCATCAAAGCCGAAGGACTTGGCTTCTGTAATTTGAATTTCGCACTATGATGATCAGATAGTAAGATATAGCAGACAAGCTTAATTACTAAGGGACTGTCGTACTGAGCTTCACAAGTGCTCGCGGCGCGAGAATGTTAGAACATAAGACTGCAACAGGAAGAACATTCTAATCATCTTGTGAAAATCATTATTGGATTCAACAAATTAGAGATTGACGTCATCACCATTCAAAAGCGATAATTCTTTAGAGCTACTATTGTGTGTTTTATGCAGTCATTAATAATCAATAATCTAGCACATCTCATCAAACTAACATTCGATTTCCTTTTCACACTTTTATATTGTTGATATTGAACATGTAGTGCATTTAGTACAGGTAAAACGTAAGAGGAAACGATTGTGATTTCGACTTTATATACATCTTTTAGCATGTGGAATAAGCAGAAAAATAGTTCATCATCGCTCATTCAAACAGAAAACATCTTAGGTACTTTCCAACTTTGGGTTGAAAACTGAAGGAACTACCAATATAAATTTAGTAGGTTTATATTAGGTTGGTGCAAAAGAAATGGCCGATTTTCTAAGCCTTTTTTCAGGGCAACTTTTTTCCATCAATACTTATTCTTTAAGCGGGTGTAGTATATTGCCGCGAAGCTGTATTCATGCTCTATCTAACGGTGCTTGAAGCGGGCTCTCATCCTCATCTCTTATAAAGTTACTGAGCTTCAAAGAACTGCATCCAAAGTCAGAATTTCATTGCATTCACTTTTCCGGCCAGAATTCAAGCGCGTATCAATGGATTTCTTCGAAAATTTAGCTGTTGTATGTAATAGAAATTCTCTACATGCATACTTAACTGCATTCTTTGAAGTTATCCAGACTGAGATATCGGCGCCTAAACATGGGTAGCTATTGCGGTCATTTTATGACCCATAATTTTCTTCTGAGGAAGTTAGTCGCCGAAGCTTTGCTCAATTCTGTAAGCGTAGAGCTAGGACATTTATTAGCAATTTTTGCAAAAACATCCAGCTGTTCAGTACGTAAAAAATCATAAAATTCTATATCCCGGACTTTGAGGCACACTGAAAAAAAAACGAGATTTTAAGTTTCAATTTTTTCTTTCTCGCAAACTTTTTTGTCCAAACTCTTTTTTTTGTATTTTGTACTACTGGCTTGCGGTTACAAGATAGGCCACTTATCATTCATACTAAGAAATTTTAAGGAAGTTATGAATTGTCAAAGACAAGGTTCTCGCAGAAGAACCTTTTTTGTCTTTTAGTCCGTATTTCTCTTCTCGTTTATGGTTTGAGTATAGATAAGTATGCGCTGTATTGCTGAAGGTTTGCTGCTTCTGGGGGTCTTTACCGCATTCAGAAATGTGGATCTTTCAGAAAGTTATAGCAAATCAAAGTGAGAATTCGCAAATCGGCCATTCCATTTGCATCAACCTAATACAATGTAAATTTTTGATCAAGATTTATCAAAAAGAGTGGGGAACGTAGAAGAGTTCAGATCCTACCTGTTATGTTGTTGGTATGGTTTTTTGGCGCACTTTTGCATCTGTTAACAAATTCGTAATTGTTGTTGCAGTCAGATGACCTAGCTTATTCTTCTCGTCTTTCTTGCAGACCACGTACATCTCATGCTTTATAATTATTCATTACCTCACTCAGAGATAATGGAGATTTATGAAGTATCAAGCATCAGGGAAAAGACCAAATCACGAGGGAATTCGCTTAGATTTGCTGTCTCTTTCAACCAGGTATGCACACTTGTGATAGCGTTGGTAGTAAAATAATGAATGAGTGGCTAGTAATAATTATATCAAAGTGTCACGATAATAATAACAGTAATATTAGGCTGGCTCAAAAGCTTCCGGACTTTGCACTCACAAGGGAAGGATACTTGGTCAAAGTAACGTTTTCAAATAAAATACAGGGTGTCGCAAGAAAATGTGCCTGCTGTTAATAACTCTCTTCTTATAAAGCCTTTCGAGAAGCTTCAGGTACCGTTTTGTAGAGCTGGCTTCAACTTAGATTTCAGTACAGAACGAATCATCGATCGCTGTTCATTACTGTAGGATTACGATAGAAACTTCAAGCTTATGGTATCACAGAGCTGCATTTTCAAAAATTTTCAAAAAATGTAAAAACTTGTATAATAAGGTTTTTATGGACGCTGAGTTTAAAACTATATAAAAGACTGCAAAGCTTTCTGAATGGTTTAACAGCACTTCTTACAAACCACATAACTTTTCAATGAAACATTATGATACGTTGCGAACTTCACATTTGGAATCAGCAACTCTAATTAGCCCAGTATGTAAGTTTTCAGGTTGTTTCGCTTCTTTTATGAGGCAAAATAGCCTTTTTATGGCTCAAAACCCTCTTCAAAGTTCCTAACGTAATCTTACAGTAACGGAGATAAATAGATGATCGGCTCCATAAATCTAAGCTGAAGCTAGCTCTACAAAATGGTATCCAAATCTTCTTGGAAGACTTCGTTGCAAGAGAGTTATTAACAATCAAACAGTAGGCACATTTTTTGGGACACCCTGTATATACCAGCTTATAGAGCATGAAACGCTGATTTCGAATCTGCCTTCGATATCTGCAAGCGCTTCTGAGAAGGGGGCTATGGGAATTTTTTTGAAGCAAAAATTCAATCTCGCCGCTACAACAAAATCATTCAGAACTGTTGTCTGTGAGCTTAAATAGAGCCATGATTACTGCCAGGACGCTTTATGCAGTTGATATCTTTAGTCTAACCAGTGCGTCACCTCTGCTTCGCAGAGGCTCGCACTGGCCCTACTTTCTGTATGCTAACTCATTCCCGCATAATAATAACATTGAAACTCACCGAGCCATGCAGGCTATCATGAATGATTTGTAAACAACTACTCATTCCTAGAGCTTTTTTGTGTGAGATCGGTATTTTCGCGTGGATGAAACTTTTCCGAGAAGAGTTAATGCGAATTTGAATCGGTTTTCAAACTTTTTATGACCTGATAGTTGCCATAACGACCATAATCACCGTGAGCTACATCCCTGTGCAAAAATCTTTTCAAACGATCAGGTAAAATTGGCAATTTGAACATTCATGCAATTATTCTTTTTGGCGCCGTTTTCGTAAACTAATCAACTTTAGTTCAATTTTTTGGGTTAATGTCCATGGCTTGCACACTAACTTGTCAAACATATCCATGCCTTTGCAAAAAGTGTTGGTACCGGCCCAATTTTGCTGGTCAGAAGCCAAGTGGATCCGTTTGACGCGCAATTTTCAAAGGTTCCACTCAACGGATCCGCTCATGCTTTTGCATGGTGGTCAGGGCCCGGCACGCGTTGGTTTGAGGTCAAACTGGACTTCGTTTTTGAGGGTGAAAGCAAAGGGGACTTCGTTTTTATGAGGTTCTGGAGGAAGCGCCAAAAAAACACGACGAACATGTCAGGTTTCACGAGTTTGAACGTGTTCTTTCGCAAGCGCGCGAATTTCAAATGCAAGACTCAAACAAACAAATGGCTTGTTTACAGCTCACAAACAATCACATGGCTCCGAATTTGGGCTATGTGTATACAATATTACTCCAAACTATGTTATGTAAAAAGTTCCCAAAACTTATGTGTCTGAATACCCGTTCCGGATTTGTTGGTTTCAAAACCAACCACCGAACCAACTGGGTTGGTTCGGAGCATAAATTTCGAAGAGTTCACATAAGTTTTGGACCTTTTTGATTTGGACGATTAAAGCGCTTGAAAATCTATTATATGGTGAAGAGAGCAAATCAAACCATGGCCTCTGCTCTTTTTACGAGCCAAATATAATATGAAAATAGAGGCTTTGATAGATATTACGCTCCAATCACGTGTGTGTCACGGCGCCCTTTGAAATGGCGCCGATTGCATCATTTCATTTTTTTGTCTCGTCATGTGATTCTCTTCGTTTTCTTCTCTTTCCGTCTCTTTGTGTCTTTTTCTGTCTTCTTCTTTGTTTTTAATATTCTTTCGTTTCAGAAAGTATTCGCAATGGAGGCGAATGAAGTCAACAACAAGAAAGACGGTGGTACGACAAGAGCCAGACAAGGTGGGTTTGATTTATTGATTTGATTTTTCATTGTTTGATTTGTTAGCTTACCTCGCCATTCCACATTGGGCCTCGGGCAGAATTTACGCGATTTGGTCGTCGCGATTGAACGCGACATGTAAACTTTGACACTATCATTGCATGCCGATCTTCTTGCATTTCGGTCGTGATAGTTTTCCAACACGACTAATTGTGACTTACTATCACAACCGAGATACAAGAAGATCGGCGTGCAATGAACTCGTAACACTTGTCTTTAGCGATTGAATCGCGACAACCAAATCGCGTGAAAGGCCTAACAGGACGAAAGTGCATCTGCGAGCTTCGCCAACACTCATGTCGCGCAATTTTTGGCAACATAATGCTTGTCACGTGTCGTTCAATAATAATGCTGAAAGATTCATATTGCATTTGAGGGGGCAGTTCTCTTTTCATAGCAGTCTTTCAATGGAATTATGTTTTTTATTGATAATTACGATGAAAACTTTGGAGAAGCTGAAATTATCCTCTTGTTTTTGACGAGTTATTTGCAGTTGCTCGTTTGGAAGGGTTGCCTGCACTATTTTACAATGAACGTCAGAAGTAGTCATCTTTTTCTGTGCATTTTTCCGTCTCGGTTCTAGAAAAAAACGGCGCCAGCCACACTCAAGACAGCTGCAGATTTTTTGTAACCTAATGCAAAGTTCCAGTTTGGTGTTTTCTTGCAGTAAATTCTTCTCTATTGACTTGGTCGTTCGAAGCATTTCTGAAGCTTTTTTTGCTTAGGAATGTTAATTTCGGTCAAAAGCCTCATAACAACCTTCTGGACACCATACGTGCACATTTCGAGACTTTTTCATTTTCAGTTCATTATCGAAATGAAGTATTGAAATTGCTGCCAGTCGAGAGTGACAATACTTTCTGCTTTTTATGGTTGTTGATGATTTTACAATTCACATTACATTATGGAGAACTTATTACCTTATCTTGCTTCATTTAACTACAACTCTATGGAGTAAATCTGCGTGCGGGCATACCAAGAGTTTTGCTTCATCAATTCTTCCTAAGCGCAGCTTTCGACTACCCGCTTCTTGCTTTTCGCTCCTTCACCTTTGCTTCTAATCTGTCTGTTATACTAGACACGCTATCTTGGTATGCTAGCGCATCACCTCGGTTACCAAGACTGTTTATCTTCTGCAAAAGGATGCTTTTGTGAATGTTCACTCCCCGCTACTCATAGCCAAGCGCACGCAGGTGTTGGCATTCGCTATGATTGAAATTATAATTCATTCGAAATTTGACGATGGCTTCGATTGAAAAAGCGACGGTTGCCCGGCAGCATCTACGAGATTGATGCTGAATATAATTGAGCCTGAAACCTTTAGCAGGACGGCCATAAAATCGTCGTTTTCTTCCTTCCACGCGTGAATTTTGATTCCATGATTTATCACAATGCTCGAAAAAATTTTGTCCCTGATCGCTCTTATATTTAGTAGATAAGTGATATTAATGTATTGTGTCCTTGGAATCCAGCGTTATTTGGTAGGCTGAACACCAGTATGATGCTTATTTCGTGCGACAGCGCCATCCGGTGGAGTTACGGTAGGATTGCGGTAGGGGGTCAAAATCACGGATCTGCCCGAAACTTCGTCCAGAGGGGTTATTCGACCCGCTGATGTTGAATATCACATTGGTTTTGTACCGTAGCGTCATTTTCTCGGGTTACGGTGGGTTTACGGTAGGGGGTCAAAATCTCAAAATTTGCTGTAACTTCGCACTGAGGGGTTATTCGACATGCTGATTAGAAATGTCACACTTTCTCCGCACGAAAATTCTTCCCTCCATGATTACTCTAGGTTTACGGTAGGGATCGAAATCACAAATCGGCAAATGTATCTTTCCCCTGTGCTTTGTATGACGAGAACACTATAATAAAGATTAGCCTAATATTTTTTAGGTATAAATGGCACTATTTCAAAAGTCTCATTTTCCTCTTTTTAGCCGTTAACGTCGAAGTCGCTAATGCCCAATATCTCGAAAAACAATACCAACAACAACAACCCATCGTAAGTCTATTTTCTAGTTTCTAGTTTCTAGTTTCAAATCTATTTATTTTATATCATTCTATTTTTGGGTACTCCAGCCATCCATGAAATGTGATTGTCCCACTTTCGGGGTCATTGATGGTTTTGCGCATTTGACAAATTTGATTCTCCTGCTTCTATCTTTTTTTTCCAGTACAGACTGGTGAGTTTTGAATTTTTTAATGCTCAATTTTTATGCCAGAAAAATCTCATTCAGATGAAGCAGAATCAGGAAATCGACAACAACATCCGCCAGAATCCGGCGCAGATTCCCAACATTCCCGCATTCTACCGCCAGGATATCCCTGCGCTGATGGCACGTCCAGCTAATCCGTTCTTGAATTAAAGCACCTGAACGAAGGCGACGTATCTTCACTTCGTCTCTACCTTTGTCACACTTTTATTTTTGCTAATTGTTTTTTCATTTTCACCATTTTGAGGCTTTCAAAAAGCACATTTTTTTCGCCACACTTTTTGAATCGAAATTGCTGTATCGTTCAAAAAACTTGAATTTTGAGATTTTTTTTGTTCACATACTGATCTCTTTAACACGTCTGCAGCACTAGCTGCCCAAAGCTGAGAATTTTTTGCTATGGATCTCATTAACACGGACCTCAGCGCATTCCTTTACATTCCTTTGCTCATTTCAGTCGTCAAAATGCCTTTTGTGTCACGTGTATGTTGCCTTAATAAACACTTATACTGGAAAAGTTTGTCGAATGTTGAAGGCCCTAGCCAGACTTCGCTCAGAAGAGCTCAAAAGCGCCCAAAAGCGCCCAAACTTCTCCAACCCCCCTTCTCACTCTCTCTCATCTCTCCTCACACGAGAAAGTGAAGAGACAACAAAGAAATTTGGGCGCTTTAAGGCGCTTTTAAGCGCTTTTTGGCGCTTTTGAGCAAAGTGTGGCAAGGACCAAAGCCTCAGAGTGCCAGGCACCCAATTTTGGGGTCAAAGGGGACTTCGTAAAAATCTTCGGAGTCATGGGGGACTTCGTTTTCAAAAATCCTCCAAACCAACGCGTGCCGGGCCCTGATGGTGGTTTCATGCAGGTAGCGTGCGCTATGCAAAATTTGGACTTAGGACGTTGGCTGGAACACGCTCTACGAATTTCGTAACGGACAGACAGACAGACACACACACACAAAAACGTAAACACCCTTAGCCCGTTATTATAAGTTATGATAAACTTATGCTAATCATTACCCCTTTCAAGCGCCCGAAAGACCTCAGCTCCTGTTTTTAACCTTAGCCAAACCCTTGAATTTACACTTCAAAAATTCCGCATAACTCACTTCTCAGAAGCACTTTGCAGGTGCCGAAAACTGATTTGGAGTAGCGTTCTATGCTCCATGAAACGGTATCCATATCATGTAAAGACGCCACTTCGACCAATTATCCTTCCCTGGTCAGACAGAGCTTTTGCACTGATTAGGTCATGCTGCATACCGTTGGATAGAGGAAATCAACTCCTACAAATTCATGGTAAGCACAAGCATTACCAATGTTTTCTACAATTATTTAGGCAAAAATTGCAAACCATGGGACTCTGACTTAACCTAGATTCCCAACTTCCATGAATGTTATGAAACTTTCAAACCCCCTGATTTATAGTACAAACATACTTACATACTTACATGTACTTTTGTGCGGAAATTGAGCTTAAATAACAAGAAAAACGAGGTAATTGAAAAGTGGCGATCTCGGCGCCCATTGGTCATAGGCTCTCCTCCCACTTGCTTAGATATCAGCTACAGTCGAGAGGAGTACATCTGCAAAATTTCAAGGATATACATGCATTAGGTTCGAGAGATAGCAAATTGGTTTTGAAAATGTCCGAGAACTTTCGAGCCAATTCAGTAACGATCATCATGACTTATAATAACGGGCTAAGGGTGTTTACGTTTTTTTTGTGTGTGTCTGTCTGTCTGTAACGAAATTCACAGAACGAGTCGCAGACAAGGTTTCAAGCCGCAACTTTTTGCACAACACGCACATCCACCATCCAGATTCACCATGTCAAAGCGCGATCCGTTAAGTAGGTCCCATAAAAATCAAGCCCCAAACGGATCCACTCAAAGTCTGGCGCGCAATATTGGGTCCGTATGACCACTTATTACAAAGTCGTGATTATGTTTGGCAAGTGAATGTGCAAGCCATGATCTTTAGCCCAAAAATAGTGATAGAAGTCTACTACTCCAAGAAGACGGCGCCAAAACGAATTATTTGCGTAAATGGTCAATTTTACAGGTTTTTATCCGAGCATTTGAGAAGATTTTTGCACAGGGATGTAGTTCACCGTGGATATTATCCTTATGGCGACTACCAAGCCATGAAATAATTCAAAAGTGTTCTAATTCTGCAGTTCTTGATCTTCCAAAGTTTCATCCACGCAAAATACCGATCTCACACGGAAAAGCTTTCGGAATGAGTAGGTGTTTACGATTCATTCGTGAAGGCGGGCATCACACAGTATGTTTCAATGCTTTGTTAAGCGGGAAAGGGTATATGGCATATAAATAGAAGAGCCAGTGCGAGCCTCTGCGAAGCAGAGGTGACGCACTGGTATAATAGCAATAACAAAAATAACACTAATAACAGTAATGAACATGATAACGATAGTAAACACTGTTAATGTTGAATAAAAATAATATTTGTTGTAATTCATCTTTTTTGTCTGCATCTTATGTGTTCGTGCAAAGCATGTGTGTGTTTAGGTCGCATCATTTGTTTGGGTTTTTGATAAGCATAGAGGCTGCTGTATGACGAAGGCGCAACAGCGGTATTAGTTGAGCAGGGGCGAACGCTGCGTGCGCGTATCCTCACCGTTGTAAATCCTGCGCCTCATCGCTTAGCGGCTAATAAAACCGCGTTCACACCCAAAGATATTGCGCCTTCGTCATGCAGCAGCCTATATGATAACTTGATGTTCGAGAAGAAATTACAAGCTCCACAGATGACCTTCTTTTGTACCCATGAAATGCATAGTTTCAAAAGAACGGTGTCAAGCATGTGCTCGTTTTCTTAACTTGAATAGGTGCAAAAGATATTAAATTCTAAATATTAGGTCGTTCCGAAAGTTCTTTCCGTTTCTTCATCATATCATAAAAACACGTGGAACGAAAAAAGGAAATGCTTCAGGCAACGTCCGACGCAACTTTTCTTCCTCTTTTCAACTATCATATTTCTGTGGCGCTCGCTCTTATGGTCAGTGAGATAATGGCCGAAATCTCGGACCTATGGTTTTTACCATGTCCAACTTTGGCAATTTTTCACTATCTTCTTTTTTGACTTTTGGAAAAGCTTTGATAGCAGTCGGATAGAGTAAACAAAGTGCAATATCATGCAATTTTTTAGCAATTTCAGCTGGCTTCTCATTATTTTTTGAGATAACTTTTTCAGAAGTCTTCACTTTTTCAGAGTCACAAAACACACAAACGCTTCGAACTTCAACAAATCTTCGGTTTTCGAAACTTTCAAAAGTCCTTTATGATTGTACACTATTTTTACAAAGTAACTGAGCGTTTACCGCTTCGAAATATAAGATTTCGCAATTCACGGGCACATCATGAGGCGGGTACAAAATAAAGATTTATGGAAATTTCATCGCCAAAGACTCCACAAACTAAGAAGAAAAAGCACTCATCAGAAAGACGAGAAAAAGCTGCATCGAATGACACCTTAGTTGCGCGCCGTTTTATGTTCTATGGCTTCTGGCATTCTGACATCCCCAAAAGTGGAATTTGATAGCATCAGAAAAATAATTCTAAAAATGTTTTGAGGCTAGCTATAGACGCCGAAATTTGCATGATATTGCACTTTGTTTACTCTATCCGACTGCTATCAAAGCTTTTCCAAAAGTCAAAAAAGAAGATAGTGAAAAATTGCCGAAGTTGGACATGGTAAAAACCATAGGTCTAAAATTTCGGTCATTATCTCACTGACCACAAGAGCGAGCGGTACAAAAATATGATCATTGAAAAGAGGAAGAAAATTGCGTCGGACAGTGCCTGAAGCGTTTTCCTTTCTTCGTTCCACGTGTTTTTATGATATGTTGAAAAAACGGAAAGAACTTTCAGAACGACCTAATATTACATTAGATATGAGCCAAATAAATAGATTAGATATGAACATATCTTTAGGTCAAGTGAAGAGTGCAGTGATTTCAATTTTAGGCACCATGAAAATAATGTCTAAACAAAAATCAGTCTAAAGCTTTTCATCTCTTTTCTAACTTTATCGTTCCGCTGGTTTGCATTATTTTGGTTGTGTTTCGACAGAAATGGCGAATAAAGATGTTAAATTCTTTTGATTATCTGAACGTTTTTTTGCTTCATCGAAGCTTAAATCCATATCCTTCAGCCAATTAAGTACACTACTTCAAATCGCACTATGCAACTACAGAACAGGGATATTTTAGCAAATCTTTGAGGAAAAAAGAAGACCTTGCGAAAGAATTCCCGATTTAAATTAGGAGCTAACGTAAGTAACTGGGCCTCCCTAGGGTAAAAATAACCGTAGGGGTACTTGTCTCAAAATTTTAAAGGTTCGACCTTTTTCGAATCTTGGCATGGTATTCCGATATTGATTTTTGCTGTAGCTAAGCCAAGATAGTATGATCTTTTTATTGATGGCTGACGTTCGGCGTCCTCGCCTTCGTCGGAGCCGTAATACAGCGGTTTTTGGAGCCAAGAGCACCCGTATGAGAGGAAGTGATAGGGGAAACGAAGGGGTCTTGCCTCTCTAGGGTAAGGGAGGGGAGGGGCTATCAAGTCAGTTGCTCTCTGGGAATAAAGAGAGGGGGGATGCCGCCACTGCGAAAGTGGGCCGACCAAAGTGAGGGGGAAGAGGGTTAAAGCGCCGTAGTTGTTCAACATTGCGCTCATAAAATTTTGGTACCATTTGCCTGTTTATTGTAAGCAAGCCTTTTGTTTACGTCGAAAAATTTGACCCTCGCTTGCTTGTAGAGAACACAAGTTTGTTTCATGGATGGGCGCGAAGTATTAAACCCCTTTAAAAAATATTCTAAACGGCCATTTTATGACCTGTTTTTTGTTAGTAAATCAAGGCCCCTGCAAAAATATACATATCATCTTCGCTTTTTGTCCAAAACGTTATCCAGCCTGTCCTTTGCAATTGTGCCGGGCACTGATTCTGGAAGAGTACGAGATGATCATTATTTGGCGCAGGTAAAACAAATCGCAAATCGGTAACTTTTCCTCATGCTGTACCAAACATTATTATTCCTTAGCTAAAAATGCAGTTTCGATTGTTGAGGTGATTAACTCCCACTACACTGTACGTTTTGGGTAGACGACATAGTCGTAAACGGGCTTCGCAAGTGCGGACATCTGTCACAAACCGTGCATCAGTTACTGTGTTCCTAGCGGGAGGTCTCCTGGACGCAGGGAGTTTTGCCGACAATGCCTTTGAACTCAGATAAATATCGTTACTGCATCTTGAATGCAACGATTTTTTTCGTGCAGGCATGGGAATAATAGCAAAAGACAAAAGGCAGCAAAGCCAATCTTTGTATGAATTTTCTCTGCAAGAATAGACACCATGCGCGAAAAATTATTGCTTCCCCTTGTTCATGGTTTCCTCTAAATCAAACAAACAATAAGAACAAGAAATCTTTATGTGTATTAGTCGTTATACAAAAAATAGTTCGCGAATGGTCATGGTCCACATAGCGCTCCATCTACACATGTCGGAAATTCACTTGGGCAAGAGCTGCAAGGCGTTCCTGGCTTGTAAATTTGTTGCTCAATTTCCACCTCGCTGCAAGAATATCATTTGAATGTGTTATCTTTTTCACTATCTTGTAGGCATTGAACACTTTTCAGAAATTCCTACAACGTGGTTCTAACAATACGTTATAGCTGAATTGACCTTGGAGCATATTGACATACAACAGCGTAGAAATTACTGCATTTGTTTACGGCACATCCAATCTCAGATGTTGTAGCCCAGGCCATCTAAAATTAAAAAGTTTTGTGAATGTGTTCGTCGTCCTTTGAGGTCGGCTATACCTCTAGCGATTCCGCTAAATCGCGCTTGCCACGCGTATTGGTAGTTCTCCATGTCATAAAATCATCGACGCAAAAATTTTAAATACAAACGCATAGCTTTGCAGGCTGGTGCAAATATGGAAGATGCTGCTTATGTAAATTCGTACTAAGAATAAAGGCTACTGCCGGACGAAAGCGCAGAACCAGAGGCGCAATCTTAAAGACAGCGTCCAGGCAGATCTGGACCTATGGGGCTTTTACGTGGAAAGTACTTTTGGGGCCCTAACTAAGGCACTGCCCAAGCGGCAGCTCAGGTAGTGCTGTAATGGCTGAGATATTCCCCTCGGAACTGGACCCCGCGACCGTGTTTCGCATGGATTCATGGCGCAAAGTGTGGATCCTGCGCGAAACTGCCATGAATCCATGCGAAACACGGTCGCGGGGTCCATTTTCGAGGGGAATATCTCAGCCATTAGAGCACTACATGAGCTGCCGCTTGGGCAGTGCCTTAGTTAGGGCCCCAAAAGTACTTTCCACGTAAAAGCCCCATAGGTCCAGATCTGCCTGGACGCTGCCTTTAACCGCGAAGGTAGGACGTGCAGGTTTACATCGGTGGCAATACGTTCGCGTCGCGTTCGCGCCTGCTCAGCTAAAACTGCATTCACTTTTTTGTTCGATAGTAGGCTTAGAGCAATCTTAGCAACAGAAATTGTGCAGTAAGCGAAATCGAGCGAGGTATGACCGTCGTCTCAACAGTACCAGTTTTCTAGAAAGATGTTTAGTCAGCAGAATTACAAAAAATGAGCAAAATATACCGTAGCAAAATTAGCAGATGGAGTGTGTATAGTTCTGTAATAAACTTGATTGCCAATGTTCGGTCCAGTTCTGGATTGCTTCCACCATGATGTTACACCCTAGAATGCTTTCCGAGGTGTCAATGCTACCTCTGAGACGATATCTTACATTCTTGATGGCCGTCAATTTATTAGGGGCGGATGATAAAGTGACTTGTGCAGTATTTTCGCCAACGTCGGGATCGAGTTCAGTCTCCGTTTGAAAGCAATCTTCTGCCCGAGCAATAGCGGCTTCTTCCAAGGAGCAATTATATGACTGAAGTGGTTTCAGCTTACGTAAGCTAATTATTGTTTGAGCTGTGCCTATTTCACGATGGTTCTCAAGGTGAAGTCAAAAAACTGTTAAGAAGTAAAGATATGAGAAAAAGATCACCAGCTTTTGAATATTAGCACCCTGTGGCATATAGTTCTTATTGCCCTTTATGACCTCTCCTTTTGCTAACATCAACCTAAAAGTAGTCAAATGACATTGCCGTTTAGTGACTAAAACAGTCTCCGCACCTTCTATAGTTGTGCATGTCCAAAAATTGGTTCACCTGATGATCCTTCATTTTTTCACTATCTTTACATAGCGTATGCGCATAGGTGACGGTAGGTAATAGCTGAGAATGACAATAAAACAGTGGAGATTTGAGGTGTTAAAGGCACCGTCCATCCAAATTCTCGAATTTCAGGTTTTTGCCGTTTCACGGCCTTTTCATGTCCCTGATTCCGAATATGAACCGAGAATCCGTGAAACCCCCGACAATCTCCGTTCCGTCTTTCCAAAACGGTGACTGGATGTGCACATGGGTGGGCGGGCATGGATGAGGAGATAGGTGCCGTCTGAGGGTCTTCTTGCATCCTAGTTATTTGAAGCGATTTTCTCGCTTCCTAAGCAACATTTTGCACCGCGACTTGGGCATTGGCTTGATAGGGACCCCACTATCATATGCTGCCAAACGCTCAAGATTCTCAATTTAGGATGGACGGTGCCTTTGCGTTTGCATTTGTTTGAACGATTTTAGCAAGATATGTGAACAACTTACAGAAAGTACTGCAATACAAGCGATGGACATTGTTTTGGACTGCTTTCTGTCACCTGCCCTCCTCTTTTCATACCAAAACCTTACTCCAAAAACGCCAATTAGAACGTAGAGGTAAATCATTACGATACACTCTATAACAAAATCCTGATTAGAGTTATAGCGAAAGTTCTATGATTTCATTCATTAACGAAGTGAATCTGTTGTGCTAGACGAGAACCTATAGTTAAAATGCAGAAAGCGGATTACAACAAGGCCACTATAGTCTTTTTTCTCCATTGTACTCCATTTCTTCAGGTGTTCTATAATTTCATTCGGCTTTGTTGCTGCGTTATATCTGTCTAATTTGAATCCAGTTCTAGTTATGAAATGTTCAGAGCTATCAAAATGCTTAGCGAAATTCAAGTTATATTTTGCGATAAATGATGAGCTTTTCTGGAATTTATTCTACAATTTTGATTTTGCGACTTTTTAAAGCTTTTCTATACACTTTTTGATTTTCGTTATTTGCCGATATTTGCATGCTGTGTACCACGCTTCCCTATACTAAATCTATTGAAAGGAGATATTTATCAAACTTCCTCTTGATGACATCGATCCGGATGACTTCGCTTTATTTTTGTGCAGTGCCACTGAAGCAGAGACGATGCTGAAGAACAGTAAGAAGATGATAGAACTGCGATCAATTGAAAGAAGAGTAGTCCATTGAGGAAGGCTTGTGCGAGGAAATGAAATCTAGAAGATTTACAATTACGGAGACGTTTTTTTACACATCTCTATGGTTCGTCGATTATAGATGATGATTTAAGAGTGCATTTGAAGGCGAAGAGCAGCTTAGCAGTCTCGTCCTCTTATAGCCAGTGACCAACCAACGACTTCAATGTACTTACAAGGGAATGATACCAACATTAGTCGGCTATCGAAGATGGGATGTATATCAGTAGACGCGCCTTCAAAGGTTGATTCCAAATCTGCTTTCATTTTTTTGCGGGACAAGTTTTTGAAAAAGTTACGAGCGTTTGAATATCCGAATTTGCCAGGGTTTAGGTGGCCTAAAATTGGCGAAGAGCTAAACAGAAACACCAAAAACTGTGAAAGGTTTTGTAGCAGTATATTGTTTGCAAGGAAGAAATAAAGCCAGTGGAAATTTCGCATAGGTATTGTTTTAGAGCTTTTCGTTGATTTTAAGAGACTCAGTGCTTGGCAAATTTGGACATTCTAACGCTCATAACTTCTTTCGGAAACATACCCCGCAAAAAAGGAACAGATTTCGAATCAGCGTTCAAAGACGAGTTTGATGATAAACTTTGCACCTTCAATCGCCGTCTTATTTTGGTATCCTTCCCTTACTCAGATAATCGCCGGGAGCAGGCGGTCCGCAAACTCGCGCTTTTCTGCAGGCGATCAGCAGAATTTTGGAGCGTGGCCAAATCAGCGAGCGGTACTCCCTTTACGGTCGTATATTCTGCCAGCGGGCAACAATGCAGCATTTTCTGCAAGCGCTAAGCAAATAATTTCTTTCAGCAATCGCTAGGACTCTGACGCACTCCGGGCATACGCCGAGTAAAGATGAGACTATGTGGCAGAGGTGTCATCGATGGTTTAATTACTCAAGTTTGAGGTCCTTCTTTCAGCGGGAGGTACCTACGGGCTGTGCGGTACTTCAAAAGGACCGTGCGGCCTTCAATATTTTTGCATATTTCCGCGGGAAGTCCGCGAGAATGCGGCCTTGCGCCGCAACTAATCCATAGGTAAACCACAATACTTCTCCGAGCATTCCTCCAAAAACTGGCCAACAATTTTACAAATTTCTGTAAGCGGACCGCATGAAATTAGCGAACTATTTTTCCGGTATCCGCTTGCTCAAAATTCGCATGACCGGCTGCCCCCAGCGATTATCTGAGCATTAGCTCACCACTCCGTTCAACAGCCTTTCCTGCGCTGCTACGCAGCAAGACCGGACATAATAAGCAAAGCTTCTATAGCCAGTGTACGTGATTTGAGCTGGAACCACTACACTGTATCACTGTTCGCTAGATGACAGTGGAGCAGCTGATGTCGGCAGTAAACAACGGGAAGCATATAGTGGTAATATCGAACCAACACTAGAATTAAGCATTCATTTTTCTAGGCGTGGATAGCCCTGTATGTCCCATTTCAGTGGCTGTATTCACCAACGAGTTACCCAGTGGGTTCCGTAATCCACAAAAAGCCATTTAGCCGGTTTTACGAACGACTCACTGAGTTCGCGAACCCAAAAGTCGAGCATACCGGTATTCACGAAATAAGTTGCCCAGTTCCTATGTTCGAGCACTGGGTTTGTGAACACAAGTTTGGCGCAAATCGCTATGGGTTACATGTGAACCCAGTCCCTTTGTTAAGTGTTAAGAGTTTCTTGTGAGCAGTGATGGTATTATTAGGTTGTTCTGAAAGTTTTGTAGGCTTTTTCAGACGACTATAAAACCACAAATAAAGACTCATCTGTTTTTCAACTTATTAGGTTGGCACATAAGTTTTGCAACTTTTCCCGTAACTTTTCTCTTATTTTATGTAGCAATCTCATTTTGTGGCATCATGTGAACTGTGATGTAAGCTGCAAGTCTACGCAAACCGTTTGATTTTTGATAACGTAGTACAAGAAATCTAAGTATTTTTTGGAAACTGATGAAAATCGAGGTTTCACCGGTTGTTTGCAAACATGAAGCCCTACGAAACCTGAATTAAACATATCAAAAAGCAATTATAGGCAGCATGTAGCTAAAAGTGAGCACATTGGAAACAGTGAAAAAGAAATGAAAATTAAACACAAATTAAGGTGGGGCGCCTTTGAGAAGCTGAACAAGTCAAATGCGTCAAGTTTTAAAGGCAATTTGCCAATAACTAATCTGCGAAAAGTCAGAATTCGCTATGACTTTGCACTGTAGGGTAATCCTATGCGGTGAACATGATTATCACATTCATTTGTCGCTAAAATGAAATTCATTTTTTTGATCTCACGAACGAGGCCAGTTCGTGCGAAACTGATCTCGTTTTTGTGGTCAGTATGCCGAATAAGCCCTATAGATCAAGTTTCAGCAAAATCTGATGCATTCTAAAATTTTTTCCATAGTGGCGTAGACCTACCGTAATCCTTACATAAGATGGTAAAATTCGGCAAAAATGTGTGCATTAGAAACATACATGATAATCCTCATATTGCCAAAAATTGAATGCGCTACGTTCAAAGAGACAAAAGTTATATAAAAAGATGCATTACTTATGTGCCAACTTAATATATCCAATGCAGCTTTTCCTCCTCTTTCTTACAATTGCTTTTACTATTTTCAAAAATTTTATTCCGAAGTTTTGAAAACGAGAAAATATGCCGCAAATAGAGCAAATCTTGGACTATACGGCAATGTTTTTGGATTTTCCTGATCTGCTGTTTCCAGCTTCAAAAAATTATTTCTCTAAAGATCGTTTTAGGTAAATTCGGTTCTGCGAGTTGTTGGTTGTTATTACCATTAGTTGTGCAAAATAATCAGGTCCGATTTGGAACATCAGCTTTTCGGAATTTTCGGTACTCCTACGGGCTAAACGTGACAAAGTCGCGGTCCTTTTGAAATAAATAATTTCAACAGACTTGATAAACGTGACCCTGTAATACGAAAGTGTTGCGATGTAGCGAAAGGCTTGCACTACATAAAAGTCATCTTTTTGCAAATTACAAGATGAGATTTTTTAATAGGGAAGATTTTCTGTAAAGCTGCTACATGTAGGAGCCATGGCGATAACATCGCAAAGACAGCATAGATCAGAGAACCATTATAGCTACAAGAAAAAAGACAAAAATCTCTCTTGAACGGTACCTGAGTCGTTCAGTCATTTGTAATCTGTGAGTTTTAGTGATAAAAGATAAAAGAAACCGTCAAAACTTTCTGATAAAAGCAACACTCTGCACTAACATTTAGACTTTCAAAAATGTTGCAAATAAACTCAAGATTAATATTTTCACAGAGAAAGCAAGCCAAATTGGCGCCAATTACGATTTGGAACCTCAGAAAAGTACAAACAAGTTTTCAAAAAGTTCGTAGCGTCATTTTGTAAAGAGCTGAAGCATCTCCCTATTGCGCTAATGCTCCCTCAGACTTTTCGTATACCACTGCCACTCTAGAGAAAATCTCTTATAGGAAGCTGAGGGTCTGTTGGCATTTCTATTTGATAGTCCGCACGCTCCGCAGACAGGGCTCGGCACAGCTCAGATAATCGCCGGGGGCAGGCGGTCCGCAAACTCGCGCTTTTCTGCAGGCGGTCAACAGGATTTTAAGGCGTGGCCAAACCTTCAGCAAGCGGCACTTTCTTTACTGTCTAATGTTCTGCCAGCGGACAGCAACACAGAATTCTCTGCAAGCGCTCGTCAAATAATCTCCTGCAAATGCTGGCCGAACTTTCAGCAGGCGCTCGGACTCTTTTTATGCAGTTTCGGGCATACGGCAAGCACAGATAAGACTCTGTGTGGCAGAGGTGTCACCGTATGTTTAATTACTCAAGTTTGAGGTACTTTCTCTCAGCGGAAAGTATCTGGGGGCCGCGCGGTCCTCCACACCGGCCCCCGAAAATTTTGCGCATTCTCGCGGAAAGTCCGCGAGAATGCGGCCACTGCGCCGCAGCTAATCTGTAAGGAAACCGCGACTGTTCTCCAAGCATTCGTCTAAAATTTCGCTCAAATTCTTCCAAATATTTGCAGGCGGACAAGAAATCAGCGAACTATTAGGTCAGTGCAAAAGTTTTGTCAGTTTTTTCAATCCATCGGCAATCACGCTAGAATGAAGATAAACAAAGACTTCAAAATGTATCCGATGCAGAATTCCTTCCTCTTTCCAGCTGCTAAACTCCCATTGTGTTTCGTTGCGAGAGTTACGAGATATTTGCTGGAATTTACAACCACTCGTTTTTACCATGTCCGACTTTCGCTAATTTTCAAAATTTTTGTATGAGACTTTCGAAGGAGCCCTGATAGCCAGCAGATAGGGCTAACCTTTTGCCAATTTATGCAATTTTTTCTTTCTATCAGCTGCTTTTCTAGATTTTTGCTAGGTAATTTTCTAAAAGTCTTGTGTTTTGGAAAAATTCCATAACCTGTT